TCTAGGCCTTGAAAAAATATTCTTTAAAAAATCCACGCCTTCTTCTAGGCCTTGAAAAAATATTCTTTAAAAAATCCACGCCTTCTTCTAGGCCTTGAAAAAATATTCTTTAAAAAATCCACGCCTTCTTCTAGGCCTTGAAAAAATATTCTTTAAAAAAATAGGCCTTGAAAAAATATTCTTTAAAAAATCCACGCCTTCTTCTATGCCTTGAAAAAATATTCTTTAAAAAATCCACGCCTTCTTCTATGCCTTGAAAAAATATTCTTTAAAAAATCCACGCCTTCTTCTAGGCCTTGAAAAAATATTCTTTAAAAAATCCACGCCTTCTTCTAGGCCTTGAAAAAATATTCTTTAAAAAATCCACGCCTTCTTCTAGGCCTTGAAAAAATATTCTTTAAAAAATCCACGCCTTCTTCTAGGCCTTGAAAAAATATTCTTTAAAAAATCCACGCCTTCTTCTATGCCTTGAAAAAATATTCTTTAAAAAATCCACGCCTTCTTCTATGCCTTGAAAAAATATTCTTTAAAAAATCCACGCCTTCTTCTATGCCTTGAAAAAATATTCTTTAAAAAATCCACGCCTTCTTCTATGCCTTGAAAAAATATTCTTTAAAAAAATAGGCCTTGAAAAAATATTCTTTAAAAAAATAGGCCTTGAAAAAATATTCTTTAAAAAAATAGGCCTTGAAAAAATATTCTTTAAAAAAATAGGCCTTGAAAAAATATTCTTTAAAAAAATAGCCCTTGAAAAAATATTCTTTAAAAAATCCACGCCTTCTTCTATGCCTTGAAAAAATATTCTTTAAAAAATCCACGCCTACTTCTAGGCCTTGAAAAAATATTCTTTAAAAAATCCACGCCTTCTTCTAGGCCTTGAAAAAATTCTTAAAAAAATCCACGCCTTCTTCTAGGCCTTGAAAAAATATTCTTTAAAAAATCCACGCCTTCTTCTAGGCCTTGAAAAAAATATTCTTTAAAAAAAGCCACGCCTTCAATATTCCCTGAAAAAATATTTTTTGATGAATATGATGATATAATGAAAATATTCTTTAAAAAATCCACGTCTTCAATGGGCCCTGTAAAAATATTCTTTGAGAAATCCACACCTTGTTATAGGCCTTGAAAAAATAGTCTTCCAGAAATCCACGCCTTCTTCTAGGCCTTGAAAAATATTCTTTGAGAAATCCACACCTTGTTATAGGCCTTAAAAAAATATTCTTTAAAAAATCCACGCCTTCTTCTAGGCCTTGAAAAAAATATTCTTTAAAAAATCCACGCCTTCTTCTAGGCCTTGAAAAAAATATTCTTTAAAAAATCCACGACTTCTTCTAGGCCTTGAAAAAAATATTCTTTAAAAAATCCACGCCTTCTGCTAGGCCTTGAAAAAATATTCTTTAAAAAATCCACGCCTTCTTCTAGGACTTGAAAAAAATATTCTTTAAAAAATCTACGCCTTCTTCTAGGACTTGAAAAAAATATTCTTTAAAAAATCCGCGCCTTCTTCTAGGTTTTGAAAATAATATTCTTTAAAAAATCCACGCCTTCTTCTAGGCCTTGAAAAACTATTCTTTAAAGAATCCACGCCTTCTTCTAGGCCTTGAAAAACTATTCTTTAAAGAATCCACGCCTTCTTCTAGGCCTTGATAAAATATTCTTTAAAAAATCCACGCCTTCTTCTAGGCCTTGAAATAATATTCTTTAAAAAATCCACGCCTTCTTCTAGGCCTTGAAATATATATTTTTTTTTTGTTTGAAAAATATTCTCTGAACCACTGTGCATCCATTTATAGGCTGCAACTTCAATCCTTCTTATGTTTTATTTCTTATGACTTCGGTTTCAGATTGCTTTCCAATTATGCTGACGTAAGGGGTCGGTTAGCAACTGGCATTGGCCCCACTTACCATAAACCAACATCAACCAACCGCACCAAGAAAATAAAACACTTTGAGACACTTAACAGAAACGCACACACACAGTCACGCTCCACATACACATGCACATAAACGAGATCAGCAAACATAAAGGCCTCAAATTTCCTTTATGTTTTTCGATTTTTATTTGCGGTTGAGGTTAAAGTTTTGTGGTTTTTGAAGCCTATTAAACCGAAGAAATTGGTTCATATATCATAGTGGCCGACCGAACAACCGACAGACCGACATTCGTGCAACCAAACAAAAATGACCAAAGCACCAGTAAAAATGGCACATTTAAATACAAATGCCTATCGTCGTCGTCGTCGACGATGAGGACGTTATGGGCAGGACACATTGGTCATATTTCTTTCTGTGTTTGCATCCCCGATTTTCTTTGGTGGTTTATTACCCTTACCCATGTCCGTCCATTCCCGTTTTATTTGTATTTGCATGCACATGACATGTATTTGTTATCGCCGAAATGTTCGAAGTATATTTTCACCATAAATAAGACAAAGGAGGAAGAAAAATTATTTCATTTGCAAAAAAAGGGGGTTCGGTAGTAAATCTGTTATTGGGTTAAATAAAAAGTAATTTATTATTACTGTGGTTGTTATCGGGTGTGTGGAGGATGAAATGAAACATATGGGAACATATTTTGTTCCATTTATATTTTTATTTTGATTAAATACACAAATAATGGGCCCCAAAGAAAATGTTTCAAAGGATCATCACTGGAAGGAGTTTTAAAGAATAATTTTCCATACATTAATTTCTAAGATCCTGCTAAGGCGTGGATTTTTAAAAGAATATTTTTAAAGGTCCCGTTAAGGCGTGGTTTTTACAAAAATACTTTTTTAAAGTCCTTGTGAGGCGTGGATTTTTTAAAGAATATTTTTTTAAGGTCCTTGTAAGGCGTGTATTTTTTAAAGAATACTTTTTTAAAGGTCCCGTTAAGGCGTGGTTTTTACAAAAATACTTTTTTAAGGTCCTTGTAAGGCGTGGATTTTTTAAAGAATACTTTTTTAAGGTCCTTGTAAGGCGTGGATTTTTTAAAGAATACTTTTTTAAGGTCCTTGTAAGGCGTGGATTTTTTAAAGAATACTTTTTTAAGGTCCTTGTAAGGCGTGGATTTTTTAAAGAATACTTTTTTAAGGTCCTTGTAAGGCGTGGATTTTTTAAAGAATACTTTTTTAAGGTCCTTGTAAGGCGTGGATTTTTTAAAGAATACTTTTTTAAGGTCCTTGTAAGGCGTGGATTTTTTAAAGAATACTTTTTTAAGGTCCTTGTAAGGCGTGGATTTTTTAAAGAATACTTTTTTAAGGTCCTTGTAAGGCGTGGATTTTTTAAAGAATACTTTTTTAAGGTCCTTGTAAGGCGTGGATTTTTTAAAGAATACTTTTTTAAGGTCCTTGTAAGGCGTGGATTTTTTAAAGAATACTTTTTTAAGGTCCTTGTAAGGCGTGGATTTTTTAAAGAATACTTTTTTAAGGTCCTTGTAAGGCGTGGATTTTTTAAAGAATACTTTTTTAAGGTCCTTGTAAGGCGTGGATTTTTTAAAGAATACTTTTTTAAGGTCCTTGTAAGGCGTGGATTTTTTAAAGAATACTTTTTTAAGGTCCTTGTAAGGCGTGGATTTTTTAAAGAATACTTTTTTAAGGTCCTTGTAAGGCGTGGATTTTTTAAAGAATTTTTTAGGCGTCTTCCAAGGCGTGGATACTTTGAAGACTATTTTTGTACGGGTCCTTTTCAGGCGTGGATTTCTAAAGACTATTTTTGTACGGATCCTTTTCAGGCGTGGATTTTTAAAGACTATTTTTGTACGGATCCTTTTCAGGCGTGGATTTTTAAAGACTATGTTTGTACGAATCCTTTTCAGGCGTGGATTTTTAAAGACTATTTTTGTACGGATCCTTTTCAGGCGTGGATTTTAAAGACTATTTTTGTACGGATCCTTTTCAGGCGTGGATTTTAAAGACTATTTTTGTACGGATCCTTTTCAGGCGTGGATTTTAAAGACTATTTTTACGGGTCCTTTTCAGGCGTGGATTTTAAAGACTATTTTTGTACGGATCCTTTTCAGGCGTGGATTTTAAAGACTATTTTTGTACGGATCCTTTTCAGGCGTGGATTTTAAAGACTATTTTTGTACGGATCCTTTTCAGGCGTGGATTTTAAAGACTATTTTTGTACGGATCCTTTTCAGGCGTGGATTTTAAAGACTATTTTTACGGGTCCTTTTTTCAATGATTACTGTATTTAATATACAAATATATTTAAGCCTCTGTAACAATTTTTCCATGAGTCATTATTTTTTATATTTAATGATAGTATCCAGTCATTTGATTTTATCCTGCGGAGTATTACCTCCCAGTGCTATGACTTAGCCTCAGCTATAAAATTTTGTGAATATTAAAAATTCATTCTCGGACAATGGCCCAGTTTTTGATAAGCAATTAATTTGATTTTTATGTGCAATATAAAATGTGATATTTATTGGCCTCAGAAAATCTGACGCAACAACTTGTTGAATGACCATAAAATTGTCACATTAAATTTGAATTTATTTAAAAAATGCACATTAAATATCACTCAAAATACTCATAAAACACAATCGTGTACAAACACTCGCACACACACACACCAAAGCGCCCACTCATACACCTTTACAATTACATTTAATTATTTTTATGCCAATATGGCGCATTAAAACTTATTTTTCTCTTCTCCTCCTCCGTCATCTTCGTTGGTATTCACTTTACCTTTGCAGAGCTTATTTCATTTCAAAGTTAATTTAATTTCTTTTTTCAAAAGGGAGAAGGACAAGGGAAGTTTTTTTCGCATTTTTTGTCTATAATGTAATGAAGGAGAAGTAATTCTTGTTTGAAACATTTCAAACAATTTCGTTATTAAATTAAACCAGGGAGGTATTGAGACTGTGCTTGGAGGGGAGAGGTGGCGAGGCATTATTTTCTGTAATTTTTTTATATTTTATTTATTAAAAAATATGTAGAAGAATTTCCAAAAAAAAAATTTTTCCTCGAAATTCATTTTCCTTCATTTTTTGCTTTTATTTTTTTCAGATTGAACGCTACATTGAAATGCATGACGTCCTGGAACAATTTGATGACTTCAAAATCATTAACGGTTGGCTGCTCATCGACATTAGACCATTGAAATATGCTCTGCTGAATATGACATGCAAATGGTCACAGTTTTATAAAAAAGGACTTTTGCTTTATGTGGAAAGGACATTGGAGGTAAATATTAATGATATGGTGGTTTTTTGACTGTGATGGGGGGTGGGGAGGATTTTCGGAATTATTCATCATAACAGATAAGAGCTTTAATTTACATAAATAATATACTTATATAATAAATTTAAATTAAAAAATCCAAAAAAAATGTTAATTTTAAAAAAATAAACAATAGTTTTTCAAGGCCTATAACAGGGGTGGAGTTTTTAAAAAAATATTCTTTAAAGAATCCACGCCTATTGTAGTCCTTGAAAAAATATTCTTTAAAGAATCCACGCCTATTGTAGTCCTTGAAAAAATATTCTTTAAAGAATCCACGCCTATTGTAGTCCTTGAAAAAATATTCTTTAAAGAATCCACGCCTATTGTAGTCCTTGAAAAAATATTCTTTAAAGAATCCACGCCTATTTTAGTCCTTAAAGAAAAAAATATTCTTTGAAAAAAAGAATCCACGCCTATTGTAGTCCTTGAAAAAATATTCTTTAAAGAATCCACGCCTATTGTAGTCCTTGAAAAAATATATTCTTGAAAAAATAAAGAATCCACGCCTATTGTAGTCCTTGAAAAAATATTCTTTAAAGAATCCACGCCTATTGTAGTCCTTGAAAAAATATTCTTTAAAGAATCCACGCCTATTGTAGTCCTTGAAAAAATATTCTTTAAAGAATCCACGCCTATTGTAGTCCTTGAAAAAATATTCTTTAAAGAATCCACGCCTATTGTAGTCCTTGAAAAAATATTCTTTAAAGAATCCACGCCTATTGTAGTCCTTGAAAAAATATTCTTTAAAGAATCCACGCCTATTGTAGTCCTTGAAAAAATATTCTTTAAAGAATCCACGCCTATTGTAGTCCTTGAAAAAATATTCTTTAAAGAATCCACGCCTATTGTAGTCCTTGAAAAAATATTCTTTAAAGAATCCACGCCTATTGTAGTCCTTGAAAAAATATTCTTTAAAGAATCCACGCCTATTGTAGTCCTTGAAAAAATATTCTTTAAAGAATCCACGCCTATTGTAGTCCTTGAAAAAATATTCTTTAAAGAATCCACGCCTATTGTAGTCCTTGAAAAAATATTCTTTAAAGAATCCACGCCTATTGTAGTCCTTGAAAAAATATTCTTTAAAGAATCCACGCCTATTGTAGTCCTTGAAAAAATATTCTTTAAAGAATCCACGCCTATTGTAGTCCTTGAAAAAATATTCTTTAAAGAATCCACGCCTATTGTAGTCCTTGAAAAAATATTCTTTAAAGAATCCACGCCTATTGTAGTCCTTGAAAAAATATTCTTTAAAGAATCCACGCCTATTGTAGTCCTTGATAAAAAAAATATTCTTTGAAGAATCCACGCCTATTGTAGTCCTTGAAAAAATATTCTTTAAAGAATCCACGCCTATTGTAGTCCTTGAAAAAATATTCTTTAAAGAATCCACGCCTATTGTAGTCCTTGAAAAAATATTCTTTAAAGAATCCACGCCTATAGTAGTTCTTGAAAAAATATTCTTTAAAGAATCCACGCCTATTGTAGTCCTTGAAAAAATATTCTTTAAAGAATACACGCCAATTTTAGGCCTTAAAAAATATTCTTTAAAAAATCCAAGCCAATTTTAGGCCTTGAAAAAATATTCTCACGCCTATTACATACTTACTTAGCTGGCTTGTGACAGAACTTTCGTTCCATAAGCCGTGGTTAAAAAAAATATTCCAGGCGTGTCGGTCTTTTGCGCAGTTTTTCCAAATTGAAAAACCATATTCGACAACGTTATCTTCCACTTGATCTTTCCATCTTATTCGTGGCCTTCCCCTTCTGCGTGAACCATCAGCTGGTTCGCTTTTATATGCCTTCTGGGCTGGGGCATCTTCATCGATTCTCACAACATGACCTAGCCAATGTAGTCGCTGCAGATCAATACGTCTAACAATATCGATGTCCGAGAATAGCTGGTACAACTCATGGTTCATTCGACGGCGATATACACCGTCAACGCAGATCACCCCATAGATCGTTCGGAGAATTTTTCTCTCAAACACTCCCAGAGCTGCCTCATCTGCTTGCGCAAGTACCCATCCTTCAGATCCATATAACAGCACGGGTAGTATCAACGTCTTGTAGAGTGTGAATTTGGTCTGGCAGGAGGTGGCCTCGCTTTCAGTTGTTTGCTCAGACCATAGTAGCATCTGTTGGCCATCACTATCCTTCTCCGAATTTCAAAACTGATGTCATTCGTTTTATTTATGGCGGTACCAAGGTTTATAAAATCTTTAACAACCTCAATGCTGTCGTTATCAAGTTCCACAGTTGGTTCGAGTCTACTGGATGTCTTGCGCGTTGATACCATCAGCTGGGTTTTCTCGCCATTTACTACCATATCCACTTTGGCAGACTCCTTTTCAATTTGTTCAAAGGTGGCTGTTACCGCTCGCAATGTTCGACCCATTATATCGTCGAACATTGCGCGAGTAACATGTGTTGTTTGGTGTACAGGGTGCCATTTCTGTTCACTTTTGCCTCTCGTATGAACTTTTCCAGCAGGATGTTAAAAAGATCACACGACAAACTGTCACCTTGTCTGAATCCTCATTCGGTATTGAAGGGCTCTGATAGGACATTTCCGACTTTAACATCCGATCTTGTGTCACTTAAAGTTATCCTGCATAGCCGTATTAATTTTGCAGGAATGCCAAACGCAGACATGGCATTAAACACCTCTGAACGGATAGGGCTGTCGAATGCGGCTTTATAGTTGACGAATAGGTGGAATGTGTCGATATGTTTTTCTTGGGTTTTTTTCCAGGATTTGGCGCAGAGAGAAAATCTGGTCAATGGTGGATTTGCCAGATCTGAAGACGCATTGGTATGGTCTAAAAATGTCATTGTCACTTTATATGCGATGAGAAGGAGACTTATTCCTCTATAGTTGGCACATATCGTCTTATTTCCTGCTTTGTGCAAGGGACACAGGATGCTGAGGTTCCAATCATTAGGCACGCATTCCTCTAGCCAAATTGTACTAATCAGTTGGTACATGCTCCTGATCAGCATCTGACCTCCGTTCTTGAATAGTTCGGCTTGTAACCCATCGGCACCTGCTGCTTTATTATTCTTCAGCCGATTGATTGCTATTCCGACTTCATCTTGGCTAGGTGGTATACACTCTATACCATCGTCACTTATTGGTTCTGGGGTATCCTCTTCACTGCTACTATTTGATACCAGAAGTTTTTTCAAAATGCTCCTTCCAGATCCTCAGCACTCTGTCTGTATCTGTCATCAGGTTTCCTTATTTATCTCTATAGGAAGATGTGCCGGCACCAAAGCCTTCTGTTTGGTGTTTTACTCGTTGGTAGCATTCTCGGACTTCATTCTGACTCCTGTACATTACGATTTGCCCATGCTCACGTTTTTCTTGTTCTTTCTTCTTTTTTCTGAAAATACGTTTTTCCTCTCTCCTTTTCTCCCGATAATTCTCCATCACATTACGTGTTGCTTCTGTCTGCAGGGTAGCTCTATACGCTGCGTTTTTCATATCAGTAGCATTACGACACTCCTGATCGTACCACGGATTTCTTGACGATGGTCTTTGGTACCCAAGTGTTGCTTTTGCTGCAGTTTGTAGCGAGTGAGCAATTCTCTGGCACTGTGTTTCTATACTATTATCGGAAAGGGTGGTTTCGTCAAGCAGTTGGGTAATTTGAGCGGAGTAGGCTTCTGCTATCTGTTGTGTTTGCAGCTTTTCGACGTCAAATTTCCGTGTTACATTAGATCGCACCTTTGCTGCTACATTAAGACTGGTGCCTACCTTGGCTGCCACAAGGTAATGGTCCGAATCGATATACGCCCCTCGGATCGATCGGACGTCTAAAACACTGGATGAATGCCTTCCGTCTATCACAACATGATCAATTTGATTTCTCGTTGTTCGATCAGCAGAAATCCAAATGACCTTGTGTATATCGAGATGTTTGAATCTGGTGCTGCTAACTACCACCTCATGCCGTTGTCGGTTGTTTCTTCATGAAGACTGAATTTTCCGACGGTGGGACCAAAGATATTTTCCCTTCCGATTTGTATATTAAAATCTCCTTGCAGAATTTTAATGTCATGGCCAGGGCAGCGATCATATGCTCTTTCTAGGCGCTCGTAAAATATGTCTTTGGTCTGCTCATCTTTGTCTTCGGTCGGAGCATGGGCGCAAAAGAGACTGATGTAGAAGAACTTCGCTTTTATACGGATTATAGCAATTCGCTCATCTACTGGAGTGAATCTGGAATCGAGGTATTTTTTCTGCTGTTAACCATAAATCCGCCGCCAAATTCATGTCTCGTTTCATGGCAGCTATAATATAGGGCGTAATCTTCTGATTTACTTACGCCAGTCCCTTTCCATCGCATTTCCTGCAAGGCAATAATATCGGCTTTGTAGTTCTTGAGTACATCCGCCAAAGCGAACACTGCGTCTGTTCTGTACAACGTGCGAACATTCCAGGTGCAGATTCGCAGATCCTTTATATGTTTGTGGACGACCCCCATTAGATGGGTTTGGTTTTCTTTTTCATAGTTCCGGTTCCGATTTTCCGAGTGTGGACAACTAACCCGACGCCTCAACCCATTTTTTATAGTTCTTATGGGTGAACTCGCAGCACATATTAGCTTACTATTTCATCGGGTGGTGAAAATAGGTACGCCAGGTGGCACCACGGGGAGGTCAGTGAGATGAGATGAAAGAGGGACCAAGATAAGCCTGGACTTCCCATGTTAAAGCCAATCCGAGCCGTTGCTTGGTATCTATCATCTCCTACGCCACCTCTATTGTAGTCATTGATAAAAAAAATATTCTTTGAAGAATTCACGCCTATTGTAGTAATTCAAAAAATATTCCTACAATTCCTAAAAAATCCACGCCTCAAAAATGTAGAGCTTTCTTCTCAATATCTTATCATTAATTATTTCTCTTTTTTTATTTTTCTTCAGAGATTTAACATCTTCATTAAACAAAGTTTCGAGCTGTTGCAACTTCATGTGGCACGTGATGATTTTCGATCACTCCTCAAAGTATTGGAGGTGTTGGCCCGCATTAAGAAAAAGGAAAAATATGCTGATCATCTGTTTAAGCCACTCAAGGAAATTGTTCAGCTGCTGAAAACCTATCATGTACAAATCAATGGACAATTTGCCCGTTCCATTGATCAATTGCCGATGCAGTGGCAGCATCTGAAAGCGGTGGCAGCTGGAAAAATTGAATCGTTGCAGGACACACAACGCTATCAACAGCAACGTGTCGCTGGTATTTCACAACTCTTTACCTGTCATTTGCAGACGTTTGCAAAACAGTTTCAACAAATGGCTGTAAGTATGGAAGAGGACTGAAGGTGTGGTACGGGGTCAGAGGGGGGCTAGACAAAATACCAATCAATTTGTGCAATTTTTTGGACAAAAGCAACCGTTTTGCTGTTTGTTCAATTCAATTTTCTCGTTTCGTTTTGTTTCTTTTTTGCTTTCTTTCGTTTTCTTTCCATTTGTCCGCTGTGTGACAAATAGTTCTTCGAAACACCCTGCTCGGAGGTGTATTCGTTGTGCGACAGCGTTTGTTTGCTTTTGCATTGCTTCGACATGCAACACAAACGCATTAGCCATTGTGCCCAGCTACTTGATATTGCAGCACCGGATGATACAGTGTTGCGGGTCTGTGCCACCGAAGTGAAACGGGTTAAGGTAAGTGTGAGTTTTTTTCGGCTTGAATGGAAGATTGCTTACCTATAGAAAGGGTCTGGCAATGGACCATAAAACCATTCATCGTCATAGCACAATAAGCAACATGGTGATGACAATTTGTCAACAAAATTGTACACGAGCTTACAAAGGACCAACAAAACACTGGATTTTTAAAGAATATTTTTTCAGGCTCGAATATAGGCGTGGACTTTTTAAAGAATATTTTTTCAAAGGCCATCCTAGGCGTGGACTTTTTAAAGAATTTTTTTTCAAAGGCCATCCTAGGCGTGGACTTTTTAAAGAATATTTTTTCAAAGCCATCCTAGGCGTGGACTTTTTAAAGAATTTTTTTTCAAAAGCCAAAATATAGGCGTGGACTTTTTAAAGAATATTTTTTCAGGCTCGAATATAGGCGTTGAATTTTTTAAAGAATATTTTTCAGGCTCGAATATAGGCGTGGACTTTTTAAAGTATATTTTTTCAGGCTCGAATATAGGCGTGGAGTTTTTAAAGTATATTTTTTCAGGCTCGAATATAGGCGTGGACTTTTTAAAGAATATTTTTCAGGCTCGAATATAGGCGTGGACTTTTTAAAGAATATTTTTTCAGGCTCGAATATAGGCGTGGACTTTTTAAAGAATATTTTTTCAGGCTCGAATATAGGCGTGGACTTTTTAAAGAATATTTTTTCAGGCTCGAATATAGGCGTGGACTTTTTAAAGAATATTTTTTCAGGCTCGAATATAGGCGTGGTCTTTTTAAAGTATATTTTTTCATGCTCGAATATAGTAATTTTTTTTCTAGAGCTGTAAATTTTTTAGAGAATATTTTTTCTAACAACATAGTCTTCTTTAGAATATTTGTAAGCCAGTGATGAAGTCGTCAATTCAATTCCTCAACCTTCGTCTTATACGATTCTCTCGTTTATTGAATTCAATGTCTTTGTTTACCATTTACATACATACATCCATGATGATGGTGTATCATCACCATTATTGTCCCCTTATAACCTTCTCCGCCTCTCTATCTCTCCTCCCTCAACAGCAATTGTGGGATTTCGTCCATGTCATTGAATCCTGCATCAACGATTGGCGTGCCTCACCTTGGCTACTCATCGATACCGATGACATTGAAAACGAATGCAAACAATTTACACGCGATTTACGAATCCTAGACAAAAGTATACGCGACTGGTCGCCCTATTTGTATATTGTGGGTGTTCTTAGGGAATTAGTGGCATCGTTGCGTACCATCACCGAACTGCAAAATCCTGCAATTACCGAACGTCATTGGCTGGAATTGATGCAAGAGACGCAGGTAAGTACATGCAGGAAAATTGAAGTTTTAAGAATTATTACCAATTATTTTTAATTTATTGGGAGCAAAATATCTTTCGGCGAATTATATTTATAAGGGAGGCACAAAAGTGCAATGGTTAGTATAGTCGCCTGGCACCTTGAAGGGTTCAGCAGGGATAACCCCCTATAAATCTATCTACATTTTATAGGACTTCATTCTTTAAAATGTATCTATAGTTGGTGGAGGTTATATATTCGATACTACTTTCGGCCTCGTCGATAAAAATCAGGTCAAAAATCAATGGACATAGTATAGTCAGGTTTGACTTTTTGATATTATAAATCACATTCCTCCACCTGGGATCTGTTTACATTACTATATATTTTTGGACCATATCAATTTGTACCTACCCATTACTCCACTAGTTCAATAAATATCCCTTTATTTGTCAGTTAAAATATATGTTGCCATTTCTCTTTGCCATTCGCTTCTTTTTCGTCGATTTTCGAATTTCGTTAAAATTTATCCAAAGAACAACAATGGAATGAATGGCGAAACAATTACTTAATTCACACACAACAATCAGCGTTGTGAGTTGTGTGAAGACAAACATTTCTTTGCTTTTAGCAAAAGTGAAAAAGCTGTTGATGCAATAAAAAGCATCGTAAACATCGGTCGGTTTGGTAGGATACCCACGGCAATGCAGGAATCGATTGTATCAAACAATTGGTAACCTAGCACACATTCTGACTAAAACCAGTAAGGAAAGTAGTAAAGTCGGACGGGGCCGACTATATGATATCCTTCACCACTTTGGGTATATTCAACAGATGAATCCTAATGTATGGGGGTTATATCTAACTTCGGACAAATTTTGGGCCTTTAGTGTACAATTTACATAAAATCGGAAGAAAATATATATAGGAGCTATGTCTAAATCAGAACCGAAACTTAGCACACATCATTCTAGACTTAATTCAGTACGCTATGCCAAATTTCTTGCAAATCGAAAGATATGTGTGGACTTTGGTGCACCACTTACGGACGAAAATATATATGGGAGCTATATCTAAATCTAGACCTAATTCATTAGGCTGTGCAAAATTTCGTGTAAATCGAAAGATATATAGGGACTTTGGTGCACTTTTTACCTTAAGTCGGACGAAAATATATATGGGAGCTATATCTAAATCTGAACCGATCTTCACGAAACTTAACACACATCATTCTAGACCTTATTCATTACGCTGTGCCAAATTAAGCGCAAATCGAAAGATATATAGGGACTTTGGAACACCATTTACCTTAAATCGGACCAAAATATATACGGGAGCTATATCTAAATCTGAACCGATTTCCGGAAAATTTAACACACATCATTGTAGACCTAAATCATTAGGCTGTGCAAAATGTCGTGCAAATCGAAAGATATATAGGGACTTTGGTGCAACATTTACATTAAATCGGACGAAAATATATATGGGAGCTATATCTAAATATGAACCGATTTTTCCCAATTTAAATAGGGTACGTCCTTGGGTCAAATAAGTGACCTATGCCAATTTTCGTCCAATTCGGATCATAAATGCGACCTGTACTTTGTTTACAATTTAACATTGACAGACGGACGTACGGACGGACATGCATAAATCGACTCAGAAAGTAATTCTATGCATATTCTAAAAAGGAACCATGTGTCTATATCGTTCCTTTTGCCTGTTACAAACATATGCACAAAACCATAATACCCTGTACCACAGAGTGTTGAAGGGTATAATGAACAATTGTTATAAATTCCGAATAAAAATATATTGTCTCATCTAACATTAAGACCAGTCAGGACCATTGTCTCACCAGGGATAATGGGTCAGTCGACAACGACCATTGTCTCAGATGAGCCGATGACAATCATTATCGCTAAGACAATGTCAAGTAAGGAAAATTATCTTCAAATTGCACCCTCTCTTCTTGGGAAATGAGGCTAGTGAACATAATAATTTGGCACTTCGATGTTGATATCACTGTGTAACAGGATTTTAGGTTTGTGCAAAATTCCTTATGAGGTTGAAAACCCTTGGTGAGCATATTAAGACCCAGCAGAAAAAATTTGCATATATGAAGTTTTTATACCCTACACAACTATGCTGTAAGGATAGTATTGCCTCCTGTGGCCTCAAGAGTTATTACACCGCAAAATATTGGACCTTTAAGCATATCGATCATCATATCACGTCTTCTTAGTCGATCAGAACATGTGTGTCCGTCCGTCTGTCCATTATAATTTGTTAACACAGTACAGGTCAACGAAATTTTGCATATATGTCCGGTTGTAGCCAAGGAAGGCTACTATTGTTGTTAGCAGTGGTCGGTTAACATTTAGGGGATGAAATGGATCAACAACTTTATTTTTATTGTATGATTTGGTACCATTTTAAAGGTAACTGCAGAATGCCTCTCTCATAGAAGTCCTGCTCTCTATTTGCAAAAAAGATCTAATATTTTATCATTAAAGAAATTTTGCAATGCAAGAAAAAAATGATAATCGCTTGGTACCAAGTCCGGACTGTATAGCAAATGCATTAATACCTCCCACTCAAGCTCCCGAAGTTTCTGACAATTCACTGTAGATGTGTGAGGCCTAGCGTTGGCCGTTTCTGGTCAATTGCTATATTCAAACGGTCCAGTTGTTGATAGTAGAATTTAGCGTTTGGCCATTTGGAAGCAACTGATATTAAATAATCTTCCAGTCCCACCAAATGCATAGCAGAACCTTCCTGGCCCTTAGTCCTGGTTTGGTCACCGTTTAAGGTGCTTCACCGTATATAATCCATTTCTCATCTTCAGTCACCATCCGTGTAAGAAATGGGTCTACCTCGTTCCGTTTTGTCAAGGCTTCGCAGATGAAATATCGATCCACTTAGTTGTTTCTGTTAATTGGGCTTATTTTTGAATCAAGATTTGTGTAAAGGGTTTAAAACAGTTTTATTGTAGATTTTTAGCTCCTGGACGATGTTACGACTGCTAACATGCCGCTCAATTTCGATAATTTCCCCGATTTCATCGATCAGACAGACGGACGGATGGACCTTCGTGAATCGACTCCACTTCGGTGAATAGTGCGACTAAAGCATTAAGAATACGTCTAATATGGTGGGATCCATATATATTTAGATTATGGCAAAACATGGGCTCTCTATCACCTCTTATGAACCCGAAATACCAAAATAATGCTACTTATATTGAATAATATGACTATGTCAGACCATGGACAAGCATTTTACATTTTTGCAAAGTTGTTTTTCAAACTTCAATAATGCGGAATGCCAAAATGAAAATTTGAAAATTTACATTCTGTCAAAACGTGAACATTTGTGAAAGCCAAATACCAAATTAATGCCACATCAGCTGGAAAATGCAGGTAAGACTTCAAAACATCGGGAAATTACCTGGACCTGTATATAATATTTTTTGATATTTGCAGTCAGGAGTCACCCTGTCGTTTAAAGGTGGCAAAAACTGAAGCTATGAAAACAAGGGTGAAACCTTTCCCTGTTTTGAGGAAAGGAAGGGGGGCTATACCAAAAGGTAGACCAATATATACCGAAGCAATATCAAAATTTCAACAGATTGTCTTTATGAGGTTCATGACCAATATTTTCAGGAGTTGCAAACAGATTTGACAAATTTAATATATTATAATAATAATGAAGGGCATACAAATGTAGAGTTGTGGACGAAGAATCATTATGGGCATACTTTGTGAGATCACTTTGGTGTATACAAATATATCGACAAAGCGCCCATTGTGATGTAGGGCCCCGTCAGGCTGTTGCTCTTTTGATTTATCGGAATCCAACATGACAGATTAAGTTATTTAGGTTATTTTAAAATATTAAACCCGTAAACTTATTTACTGCAAATTCAATGGAGATTTTGACTAAGAAGTTAAAATTGGCGAAAATCGGCTGTTCCAGTTATGTGGAGTTTGTAAGGGGACCAATATTGAATCTAAAGTATATTGTGGTTGAAAATGTAACTAGGTTCAGAATAGAAATTATCTTTGATTTCAAATTCTACTCATCACTATCTTGGACCCCACAACGTCAAATCAAACTCAGAGATTTCCGAATTTTGGTTATTCAATTACCACATCAAATGCTAAGTCAATAGTAAATATCTCCCTAAAAGTCCCCCCAACAAAGAAAACCTAAAAAAAACAAACAAAAATCTGAAACATGAATAGCACCTACACCAAAGGCAACATCTATTACAATTTTCAATTGAAAAGTTTAGAGAGCGTTTTCCTATTTCTCTTCCAAAACACAACAAACAAAACCCGAATAGCAAACCCAATAGTGGCCACAAATAAATTTACACGATCAAATACACAAATCAAAGCAAACATTTAAACAACAGCAATTCATTCGAACTGGTATCCCTTAAACTCCCGCATTTCCGTTTTCCGCGTCTATGTTCACTAATCTCTTTAAACAAGGTCTTCTACATTTGAAGTCTAAAGCAAAAAACAACAACAACGACAACAAAGGAAATAGGACAAGAGTCTGAGAATTGTTATAATTGTTGTTGATAGCCTTTCGAATTCCTTTGCAGCTGCAAAGGAGTGGAATCGTAGAGAAATGAAGTTGATTGGGGGCAAATCACAATTACCGGAATAGCAATAATATTGTAATGGTCAACTCAAGTGGGCGTGGGCTTCTGAGGGAGAGGGGTGTTATAGACAAAACATAGAAAACCAACCAAAAAAGGTAATTAACAGTAGATGCTGTGATAACATAATTGAAATTGGAGTTTTCTACTTTGTTTTGTTTCCTTGTTGACCAAGGTTAGAGGGATTTGAGCGGAAGTAAGCAATTCGAACAATTGTCTGACCAGGAGTTGCTTGGATTGCACCCTACACCCACAAGGCGTGGATTTTTCAAAGAATATTTTTTCAAGGCCTATCAATGGCGTGGATTTTTCAAAGAATATTTTTTCAAGGCCTAGAAGAAGGCGTGGATTTTTTAAAGAATATTTTTTCAAGGCCTAGAAGAAGGCGTGGATTTTTTAAAGAATATTTTTTCAAGGCCTAGAAGAAGGCGTGGATTTTTTAAAGAATATTTTTTCAAGGCCTAGAAGAAGGCGTGGATTTTTTAAAGAATATTTTTTCAAGGCCTAGAAGAAGGCGTGGATTTTTTAAAGAATATTTTTTCAAGGCCTAGAAGAAGGCGTGGATTTTTTAAAGAATATTTTTTCAAGGCCTAGAAGAAGGCGTGGATTTTTTAAAGAATATTTTTTCAAGGCCTAGAAGAAGGCGTGGATTTTTTAAAGAATATTTTTTCAAGGCCTAGAAGAAGGCGTGGATTTTTTAAAGAATATTTTTTCAAGGCCTAGAAGAAGGCGTGGATTTTTTAAAGAATATTTTTTCAAGGCCTAGAAGAAGGCGTGGTTTTTTTAAAGAATATTTTTTCAAGGCCTAGAAGAAGGCGTGGATTTTTTAAAGAATATTTTTTCAAGGCCTAGAAGAAGGCGTGAATTTTTTAAAGAATGTTTTTCCAAGGCCTAGAAGAAGGCGTGGATTTTTTAAAGAATATTTTTTCAAGGCCTAGAAGAAGGCGTTGATTTTTTAAAGAATATTTTTTCAAGGCCTAGAAGAAGGCGTGAATTTTTTAAAGAATGTTTTTCCAAGGCCTAGAAGAAGGCGTGGATTTTTTAAAGAATATTTTTTCAAGGCCTAGAAGAAGGCGTTGATTTTTTAAAGAATATTTTTTCAAGGCCTAGAAGAAGGCGTGGATTTTTTAAAGAATATTTTTTAACGCCTATTACTGGTTTGGATTTTTTAAAGAACATTTTTTTGGGGTCTTTGAACTCACTTGTTGTGGTATAGGGTATCAATTGGTCTCCTTTTTGTCTCATATAATTTCCTTTTTAATTGTTTATTTTGATAGCTATTTAACAACTTTAGAAATACTTTTTCCCGCCTTTCTAACTTTCCACTTTGTTTTTATTTTCGTTTCCCAACTTTCATTTAGCTGGCCAAACGATTTCCATTGGATTACCTGGTAAGTAACACAACAATAACATTGAAAAAATTGCCAACAACACCGACACTTAAATTTCTGCCAATTGTCTATGGGAGGAATCCCCATTTGTTCGTTCTAATCGCTAAAAGATCCGACCGACTTAACCTTTTTTAATTTATTTCAATTGTCCATGGGCCATAAAAATCAAAAAAAAGGGGTTAAACAACTTAACACTTTATGGGAAAGGGCGCTTTTAGCGAACAAATTACCATCTTATCGACATGGCCAGTCAGCCATCCAACCCGCCTGCCAGCCAATGAGCATTTAAAAGGTTTTTGGCAATGTTTCGATGTGATTCATAAAATTATTTTGTATTTGTGTTCATAAATCCCACCCGACAAAATGCGAAAACAATTGAAATTAAATGTTTGAGATTGTTCGTTTTGAGGGTTCGAGTTTAATTGTCTGCTCAAGAATAAATTCCACATAGGTCAGCATGTTTTGGAAATTTTGTTAAGGTGCATAGCTACTACATAAATTTATGTCAGATTAGAATTTTTTTATTTTTCGGATAATTTCAATAAATTTTATGACTAGACAAATATAGAAAAACATGAATTTACATATTTTCTTTTTAACAAATGTTCGAAATGTTTAAAAATAATTTATTGTTATTTTTTTATATTTATTAATAGCTTACGTGAATTTTTAAATTTATTATAAGCAATCTAAAGTTTTTGGGAAAAGGTAATTTCTCAAGGTCAGTGGGGAAAATATACGTATGACGCAGATGTATAATGTGAAGGTGATATGTTTCCAGTTAACTGACAAAAGACAAAACATGCCAAAGGTTTTAATTTTTTATTGTGAACCGGTAATTTATTAGTGAAATGAAAATCGGGACTATGTCTTTGACATATTCTGTTATTCATTGGTCATGATAATATGAAATTTTGCGCAATTAGGCGAATGGGCTTGGTTCACACACTATTCTTCAGAAAGACATCCTGCAAAGGGGAGTCCAGCTAATAAAGACTAGCATATGCAAGTTAGACACAAAACAATCAGCATGAAATGTTCTCAATTAAAGTAGATGAGCGAATTTCTTCTACATCAGTCATATTTGCGTCCTTGCTCCGACCAAAGGCATATTTTACGAGCGCCTAGAAACATCATATGACCGCTGCCTTGGCCATGCCATTAAAATTCTGCTAGAAGATTTTAATGAAAAATCGGAACGGAAAATATTTTTAGTCACACCGTCGGAAAATTCAGCCTTCATGAAGAAACATCCGACAACGGCATGAGGTTGATTGACTTCGCGGCAGCAAAAAACATGGTAGTTAGCAGCACCAGATTCATGCATGTCGATATACACAAGGCCAACTGGATTTCTCCTGACCAAGCAACGAGAAATCAAATTTATCATGTTGTGATAGACGGAAGGCATTCGTCCAGTGATTTAAACGTTCGATCGGTACGAGGAGCGAATATCGATTCGAACAATTACCCTGTGGCAGCCAAGGTTCGCACTCGTCTTAGTGTAGCAGCAATGGTGCGATCTAACACAACACGGAAACTCAACGTGGAAAAGCTGCAAACACAACAGGTAGCAGAGGCCTACTCCGCTCAACTTACCCACCTGCTTGACGAAAGCACTTCCTGTCCCGATAATAGTATAGAAGCACAATGGCAAAAAATTGCCCACACCCTACAAACTGCAGCAAAAGCAACACTTGGATGCCAAAGACCACCATTAAGAAATCCGTGGTACGATCAGGAGTGTCGTAATGCTACTGATGTAAAAAATGCAGCATATAAGGCAACCCTGCCGACAGTAGCAACACGTAATGCGATGGAGAGTTATGGGGGGAAAAGGAGAGAGGAGAAACGGGTTTTCAGAAAAAAGAACAAGGAAAAATGTGAGCGTGAGCTAATCGAGACGTACAGGAGTCAGGATTTGGAAGGAGCATTTTGAAAAGCTTCTGGTATCAAATAGTGGCGGTGAAGAAGATACACCAGAACCAATTAGAGATCATGGTATAGAAAGTATACCGGCCAGCCAAAATGAGGCCATAAAAGCAATTAATCGGCTCAAGAACAATAAAGCAGCAGTAGTCGACGGGTTACCAGCCGAACTATTCAAGACTGGTAGTCAGATGCTAGTCAGGAGCATGCACCAGCTGATTAGTATCAGCGTCTTGTAAAGTGTGAGTTTGGTCTGGCGGGAGGTGGCCTTGTTTCTAAATTGCTTACTTAGACCATAGTAGCATCTGTTGGTCATCACAATCCTTCTCCGAATTTCAAAACTGATGTCATTCGTTTTATTTATGGCGGTACCAATGTATATAAAATCTTTAACTACCTCGACCCACTTTGGCGGACTCCTTCTCAATTTATTCAAAGGTGACTGTTACTGCTCGCAATGTTCGACGCATTATATCGATGTCATCGGCGCAGGCGAGTAACATGTGTTGTTTGGAGTACAGGGTGTCATTTCTGTTCACCTTTTCGTCTTGTATGACCTTTTCAAGCATTATGTTAAAAAGATCACACGACAAGCTGTCACCTTGTCTGAATCTTCATTCTGTATTGAAGGGCTCCGATGGGTCCTTTCCGACTTTAACTGCTGACCTTGTGCCACTTAAAGTTATCCTGCATAGCCGTATTAATTTTGCTGGAATGCCGAACGTAGACATGGCTTTAAACACCTCTGAACGGATAGGGCTGGTCAATGGTGGATTTGCCAGGTCCGAAGCCGCATTGGTATGGTCCAATAATGTCATTGACCATTGGCTCCAGTCGTTCACACAGCACACTGGATTGCACTTTAATGCAATGGGAAGATAGCTAATACCTCTATAGTTGGCACATATCGTCTTGTCTCCTCTTCTGTGCACGGGACACAGGACGCTGAGGTTCCAATCATTGGGCATGCATTCCTCTCGCCAAATTTTATTAATCAGCTGGTGCATGCTCCAGACCAGCATCCGACCACCAGTCTTGAACAGTTCGGCTGGTAACCAGCTCCTGCTGCGTTATTGTTCTTGAGCCGATTAATCGCTATTCTGACATCTTGGCTAGGTGATATACATTCTATACCATCATCACTTATTGGTTCTGGGGTATCTTCTTCACTGCCATTATTTGATACCAGAATCTTTTCAAAATGCTCCTTCCACATCCCCAACACGTTGCCTGTATCTGTCACCAGGATTCCTTCTTCATATCTACAGGAGGATGTGCCTGCATCAAAATCTTTGCTTTGGTGTTTTCCGGACTTCATTATGACTCCTGTACATCTCGATTTGCTACAGCTCACGTTTTTCTTCTTTATTCTTTTTTCCTGAAAACACGTTTCTCCTCTCTCCTTTTCTCCCGATAATTCTCCATCACATTACGTGTTGTTACTGTCTGCAGGGTTGCCCTATACGCTGTGTTTTTCACATCAGTGGCATTACGACACTTCTGATCGTACCATGGATTTCATGATGGGGGTCTTTGGTACCCAAGTGTTGGTTTTGCTGCAGTTTGTAGGGAGTGGGCAATTCCTTGCCCTTGTGCTTCTATATTATTATCGAGACAAGGAGTGTTTTCGTCAAGCCGATGGGTAATTGAGCGGAATAGGCTTCTGCTATTTGTTGTGTTTACAGTATTCCGACGTCGAGTTTCCGCGTTACATTAGATCGCACCATTGCTGCTACATTAAGACGGATGCGTACCTTGGCTGCCACAATGTAATGGTCCGAATCGATATTCGCTCCCCGGACGTCTAAAATACTGGATAAATAACTTCCGTCCATCACAACATGATCAATTTGATTTATCGTTGTTCGATCGGGAGAAATCCAGGTGGCCTTGTGTATATCGAAATGCTGGATTCTGGTGCTGCTAACAACCATGTTTTTTTCTGCCGCGAAGTCAATCAACCGGATATTTCTTCATGGAGGCTGAATTTTGCGACGGTGGGACCAAAAATATTTTCCCTTCCGATTTTTGCATTAAAATCTTCTGGCAGGATTTTAATGTCATGGCCAGGGTAGCGGTCATATGCAGTTTCTAGGCGCTCGTAAAAAATGTCTTTAGTCTGTTCATCTTTGAGCGCAAATAAGACTGATGTAGAAGAACTTCGCTTTTATACGGATTATAGTAATTCGCTCATCTACTGGAGTGAATCTGGAGACGAGGTATTTTTTTTCCTGTTAAGCATAAATCCGCAGCCAAATTCATCTCTCGTTTCATGGCAGCTATAATACAGGGCGTAATCATCTGATTTACTTACTCCAGTCCCTTTCCATCGCATTTCCTGTAAGACAATAATATCGGTTTTGTACTTCTTGAAAACATCCACCAAAGCGAAAACTGTACATTCCAAGTGCAGATTCGCAAATCGTGGTTGTTTATACGTTTGCGGTTCGTCAACATTGGGGAGGTTTAGTTTTCTTTTTCGTTGCTTTTTCATAGTAGGAGGGGTTTTCCGAGTGTGGACGACTATCCCGATGCCTCAGCTCATTTTTTATAGTTCTTGTTGGTGAACTCGTGGCACATATCCGCTCACTATTTCAACGGATGATGAAAGTAGCTACCTCAGGTGATACCGCGGGGAGGTCAGTGTCCACAATGAAAGAAGGACCAAGATAAGCCTGGGCTTTGCATGTTAAAGCAAATCAGAGCCGTTGCTTGGTGTCATCATCCACTACGCCATCCGCTCACATACCAATGGTCCGGTTAATTTTCGTTATATTGAAATTCCTACCCCAATTTTCCCTACCTGAGTGTCTGCAATTTGGAACATAATTTTTTTTAGACCTGAGCAAGAAATTTGAATACACACACCGTGGTAGTCAAATATTCCGATATGTTGCAAAACTAAATGACAAATTTAATATATACTCCACCTCATGGGGTATTGTATAAAAATAAGACTTTGACAAGCCCTTAGTATCACCTTTAGAGTTCTCTAAGTATTAAATTTTTATCTTTTATCATTCTTTTAAAATAGTTACAAAAAATAGGAGACATATCCTCAAGAGACTCAT